CCACAGCAGAGTCCTGCAGTGGTGGTGGAGAGGGGCAATGTGCACAGAGGGGTGGTCCCCATGGCTCTTTGGTGCACGTGTAGCCGGGCACATGTTCTTTCGCCAATGATGCATCTCCTTCAAACACAGGAAAAAGCTGTGTCTGTTCAAGTAGAAAGAGTTTTACTGCCACAGGTCTGATCCAGAAATAGTCTTCATGAGTCCGTGCTTTTTGCCAATTGCTTGGGTCAGTGGTGATTACTTATCTGGGCAGGGCAGGGCGGTGATTCAAGCTGTAGAAGTGCATGAGAACAGCCTTCCTGTCAGCGAACCCCAGCATATTCATCAGCCCATGGGGACAAGGAAACGGTAATCTGGGCCTGTTTCATGTGGATTGGCTATTGTGTGGCCCCATCCAAGGGGATGGTGTGCCAAGTGGGCTGTGGAATTGTGACCTGCCTGGCAGCAGGCAGGTGCTGAGCCTGCCCATTGGGCCGGGATTTATTATCCCACTCAGGAATGCAGGTGATGGAAGAACATAACAGCTTTTGCTGACAAATGGAGAGGAAGAAGAATAGCCAAGGGGACTTGCTAAACTGTCAGAAAATAAATATTAAACCCCCACAGTTACTGGAGCAGTCAGCCTGTCTGACTATTACAAGAAACGTGCTGCCATCTCTTGGCATGGTCCTGGAGGCTTGAACAGGCTGTGGAGTGCTGGGGCCTAGCTGGTCCATCCCCCAGAAATGCCCTGAGAGGCCAGACTTGGGGTCGCACTGTGCTCCTGAGAGCAGTGGATCTGTAGCGTGCCTGGTTCCCAGGAGATGCCCAGGCTCCAGTCCAGACTCCAGTCCACTGTCCCAATACCACAGTGCTCTCTCGCTGGCCCCAGTTAATGATGCTGGCTTGTGTCTGCTGCTTGGCTGCATCCTGGCAGTAATGAGTGCTCCAGGCACTTGCAGCCCTGAAGAGCATTCTCTGAGGAGCTTTACTTGGGATTCTGGTGCTCAGAACCTGCCCCACGTCACTGTGCACTCGGTAACGGGCTGTGCTGGTGGTACCTGAGGACCGGCTGAGTGCTGCTGGAGCTGGGTGGGTGGCTCCTGCAGAGCTGTCCCCTTACCGCAACCTTCTGCTGGCCCCTGACCCAGCTTCCTGCCCAATCTCACTGCGTGACTCAGGCGTTATTGTAAAAGGAAAACCAGGGTGATGCCTGCTACCCCAGTGCACAGCATGTTTTCGTTTTCCAGGCGAGCCTGGAGTCAGATTAACTGGTTTTGAAAGTCATCCTGCATCTCCCAGTTGAGTCATCAGTGCTCAGAGCCTCCCTGGCTGCGCCAGGAATTTCCTAGCTATTTTGTAGGGAGTGGGAGGAATATTTTGGCTCTGCTAGTTTTTTCATGGTAGATGGAGACTGCTGGGAAGTCAGAAAGGCACTGGATCACTTTGCCACTAACATCACGAATGTCTGGAAAACTCACAGAAGATGCTTTTGCAGAGAGATTCCATGTTACTGTGATTGTCAGTGGTCAGGATGAAGCAGTAATCCCCCAGACACCCTCCCACTGCATTGCCCTGTAAGTGTGGGTTGGCAGGGCTCCTGTGCACCATCCTGAGGCTGTTGTGCTGTGTTGCTCTCAGTGACCATCCTGGCTGGACAAACCCAGGCTACTCCAAGGCTAGCTCAGGGTTAGGCACATCCCCTGCTCCTCCGCAGCAGACTGCTGACCTCTGCCATGGAGAGTGGAGAACTGTTTCCAGGAACCAGGCTGCCTCTGGCATTCTAATGTGTACACTGCACAAGTATGTGTTTTCAGTATTGGTCTGGCAGCAAGGAAGAAGTCTGGAAAAGACACAGCTGCTGCCTCCTCTTCTGTGCACACTTTGTCCTGCAGTTGTGAAGCACAACCACACTAATGCTCAATCAGCTGAGTGCAGGGGAGGAGGACACACAAAAAAATGCTATGTCTCTGTAGAAGCTTGAGGGGGCCTTATGTGAAACAGTGGTAAGTGAACTACTGTGCTCTAAACTAACATTTTGGAAAAGGAGTCTAGTGTTTTATTTGTGCCTAATACCACCAAAGTGTTGAGGCACATGATGTGCCCTCAGCTGGCTCTTCTGTGGCAGCAATCATTTCTGGTGACACATAACACCCCCATCCCCACGCTCCCTCAGTGTCACACAGGTCTGAGTCTGTTCAAATGAGAGTTTCAGCCAGGAATGGGATGCTATCTTTCCCCAGCTGCCCCCACCTTGAAGCCTTTTGGGAAGGTGACCAGCCTTTGAAGGTCCACCTCTGCTTTTTTAGTACTGAGAGCAATGTCAGACGGAGCTGTCACAGACAAGCTCTGTCACGCCTTTCTTGGAAATGAGTCTGTGGGGGTAGACAGCAAAACTTCTATTTCCAGGAGCAATTACAAAGGCAGGACTAAAGGCTACTCGCCTGCTGATGAACATGCCCACATGTGCAAAGGTAGCCTTTTATCGTGGTATCTCATGGTCATGTCTCTCCGTTTATTGCCTATGAGGTAGTGACCCAGACTCTTCTCCTTTCTTGGTTACTATTTAAGTCAGCCTCACAAAACACTGACTCCAGGACACAAGATACGTATGGAATTTTGTTTTGTTTTCTTTCTGTGTATTATGTACTACAGAAATGCAATATTCAGGTTCATTCAGGTAACAAAGAAGAAGACACTCAAAACTGACCATAAAATAAATTGTAAAAAGCAGATTTTATATGACAATATGCATGCAGCTTGCAAAAGAATGAAGACAGTGAAGTAGTATTAAAACACATTTCCATACAGAGACAGCTTATGCAGCAATTTACAAGTTTAACCTCTGGCTGGAGTACGCAAGCCCTTTAAAGCTGGCATTCAAATTACCACTAGCTTAATCAGCCATACTTACTTAAAGTACATAGTAAAATTTAACTTAATGTTTACATTCACCATTCACTAGCCATCCAATCCAGCATCAAGGCACTTTCCTTGTTGGTGTATCTGTTCCTGTGTCGCACACCTCTGCTTACCTAGATGCATAATTGGCACAGCAAATTGGGTGACCAGTAACTCCTTATCCCCAAATAAAAGCAATTGGTTACCAGACATCCCTGGCTGTATCAAAGTGTCAGGCTATATGTGACACCGTAAACAAAACTGGTGTGTTAAAAAAAAACACGGCAAGTTGACTGGATCCATTAACAAATGTGCTTTGATGACAAAAAGTGATAGGTGTTACCAGTTTCAACACTGCAGAGAATGCTCATCTATCACGGCCGTGATCACCGGAGAACAGCTGACACTTTAGGCTGAGCAGGAGGATGTGGAGCTTTCCAGCCATCAGTCAACAGTTGTGCCATAAGTGTTTTTCATCTATTGTTACAGAAGTGTGCTTCTGCAGAGTAGCAATGACGTTATTGCATATATCCCCTTCAAGGTTGTCTTTGCAAATAAATACAAGTACTAGCTAAGGCTGCATTCTGGGAGGTACTTGCTGCCCACCCTCTCTCTGCACTACAGTTAAGGGGGGGAAGTGGATAACTGTTGAAATCTGGCTCTCTTTGTCATTATTTTTAAGTTTTATCAAACCTGGTGGCCTTAGAAATGCATCCTTGTGCATGAAGTCAGCACTGCTTTCATTTTCAGGAATGGCTCAGATTGCACAAGTACTACAAAGGGAACAACAGTGATAGCGAATATACATGCATTTCAGCCTTTTTTTTTTTTTTTAACTGATGTTTTCACTTTAAAGGAAGATAAATGGGAATTTGTGAGTCCAATTCAAGATATTTAATTTCAAACTTCTCCAGGCTTTTGCACTTATACCTCCACTTTACTGCAGTCTTCTGGATCAACAGCAAAGCTGGAGACTCTGAGCTTGGCCTTCACTACCTAACAGCTGTTTCATGACAAAAGACTCAATATTTTTCACATAAACTTTTTCTGAATAACCCTAAAAGCAACTTCGGGAATTGAAAATGGCTATATGTATCCATCTTTGCAGACAGACAAGAGGTTACAAGGATTAGTGAAGTTTTAGAGTTGATCAGTCAAGAGAACTTTTTAACACACTTAAAGGAATGTGTCCAAATAACAGTTAATCTCAGCCACAACCACTGTCTAATAAGGGGAAATAAACTAGTGTATTTAGTCCCATTTAATGCACATAAAATACAGTGTACAATGCGTATATCCTAGAGTGGGGCAGACTATTAACATTCTGACAGTCTATGGAGTTTCAGATCCCACTAAGAAGTCTATAGCATAGCAGCACATATTGCTGTGGGTCTTGGATATTCAAGACCTGGCACTAATTAAACAAGCTCAGTTACTGAATTTAAATCAGCATGTGATTCCCACATACTGGGCATACTAAATGTAAGTTTTAATCGCCTGGCAATGCTCATGATTTACAGTCAGAGCTGAAAGCTCCAAACCCCACCTGAGGTCATGGGGCTTCTCCAGTGCCCAAGAACAGGCCTCAGCCTTTGCATGCAAACTCCCTCATCCTCCCAGGGCCAAAGTTTCTTCCAGCTTTTGCAAGGCTCCTGTAGCACAACCTAGCACATACTTGACACAAAGCTCTCCAGAACAAAGTTTAGAAAAATTTCTGCTCTGCTGTGCTTTGTGCTGCCATGTTAAGGCCTAACGGGGCAGCATAGTTTTCTACTCTAGGGCGTATGAAACAGTCCCAAGACTTTCACTACAGTGGGAGTGGATATTTCTAGACTAACTGCCCTGAAAGTGGACCAACACAGTCCAGAAACAACACCAATCACCTTCTGGTCTAAAAGAACCACCGCAACAGAACTACTTACTCCCTTGTAAACAGGGGAGCCTTAGCCAGCCTGCATGTATGAGATTTTTCAAATATGCTAATACAGGAAAATACTTCATATTTCTACTAGCATCCCTTTCCTGCCACCAAATTAAGAGTCTTTACAACTATTCTTCCACCCCTACCTGAAAAATTCCAGTCCAGGAAATCAAGATGGATAAAAGTGTCTACACTGAAGTGTGATTTTACTTTAATAATGCCTTTATTGTGTAAAATATACCACAGCCATTAGTCAGAGGAGGAGAAAACTTTTTAATTACTATGTTAGGCCCAAGTTTCAGAAAATTTCAGTTGATTGCTATAGTTATGCTACAGATACTCTTAAAAATCTGTATCCAATTCTTTGATACAATTAGATTTTTACAGTCTGAAGTACAAAATCAAGTTAAACCCTGAACATTGCATGATATATTTGGCACATAGGTTTATGAACTAGCTGTAAACCTGTTATTTATATGTGGCTTCTCAAAGCTGTTCACTCACTAGGATCTCCTGCTTAGTCTTTAGTATTTTAGCCCTAGATAAATGCACAAGCTCAAGTTAGAGCATATAACTGCCAGCCAGAACTCTCTCTAGGATCCACTCCTGCACAATTCTTAGTTTATTACCACTGGCCCATAAACATCAAAGAAAAATACCAGAACTGACAGGCCAGAACTCTTGTTAGCACAGATTTTTAAAAATAAGAATCTCTTGATGCTCTAACATTAGCAATGGTCCACAATTAACAGCAACTGAGGATAAAATGCCTTCCCCTTTAACAGAAAGGCAACTAGCAACTTAAGGAATAACTGACATTCTCCCTCAAATAACAAATGCTATCAAAAGCTATCATCCCTGGATCACAAAAACAATTAAAAAAAATCATGAGCACGTTTTTGAAAACATTCAGACCTTTGAAGCAATGTTTAGGCTACACAGTCAGGTTGTGGCCTACAATATTTCAGAAATGAGAAGATGGATTAAATGGCTGTGGCTCCTGGGCAGTTCTAATAAGCACACACACTGCTCAACAGAGACTTTCCCTTTTACTTGTGGTTTCTACAGTCACTGTAAAGTTTGCATAGAGAAGACAACCCATCCCCCACTAAAGTAACTGCTATTTCTTTCCAAGAGGAACATGTTCTGACAAAGAAATGCTCCTTAAACCTCTTAAAAAATGGAGGATGGTCTCTGCTGCCTCATGACAGCAGAGTTTTCATTATACCTTTGCCCTTTGTGAGGAAGTTTGAAGGTGCTGAGGTGCAGTGGGGTAAAAAGGAAGGGGACCATTCTGTTGAAAGGTGTAATTACAGTAAGCTGCAACATAGCCTTTTAGCTTAAAAAAAAGTGCCCAGATACAGAAAAATACTGTCAGGAGAAAGGAACTGTGGAATACTGAAACATTAAAGGTTCTGTATTCTTTATCTGTTTTAAATATACCAGTCTTAAAGAGATAATCTTATGAATTTACTCTTGCACTGAATTTCTTTGTAACAGAAGCAAAAGACACATGGACATTTATATGTACACCCACCCTTCCATGCAAGCTGTCAGACAAGAACAAGAGAAGATGAAATGATATTGACACATGCCTTTCCAGGGCCTTTAGCAAGTGCTCTGCAGAACAGCAGTACCAGAGGTCACAGCACAAAAGGTTTCAGGTGGTCTTAAATATATAGTTCTTTTGCTGAAGGAGAAATAAAACATTTGTTTTATTCTCACAACACAGCATTTAGTGTTTTGGAATACAGTTTTATTAGTGTCAGATTAGAAAGCTGACTAGTCTAAGTTAGGCTTAAAAATAATTCAAAAAAATCTTTAGGAGTGCCATACAATTTCTGATTATCACTGGAAAAGGGGCTTATTGTTACGTAATTTAATTTTTCTTTATACTGGTGGAGACAGTTTTCAAGAAACGCAGCTTTTTCAAATATTGAAAACCATATGAGCAGGAAAAAAGTGAGACATTAAGAAAAAAGTAAGGAATTTTAACAACCACCTAAGTGTTATTTGTGGCTTGTGATTGCTAATAGCTACATTCTACCAAAGTTCAAATTCAGGTTTTGGTTTTAATTTCAAGAGAGTCAATGATTTTAATGCTTTGGCTGCCTTCAGTTTCAAGAAGGTCCCGCAGTATTAGCAGTGAGGCTACAGCACACTAATAGTTGTAGTCAATCAGGAAAAAGGTCATATTCCCTTTCTCCTGAGGTATTAGAAAAACGGTAAAAGCTTGTTACTTGCCTCTCAAGCTGTATACAGCAAAGGTGCACTTATTAAACAAAGACATATGATGAAAGAGGTATTGTAGAGTCAGACAGTGATTGGGATACAAAATGATTTAAGTAACTGTTTATCGGTGGTGTCACCTGATATTTAAATTTCTGAACATGAGACTGAATTGCCATGCATCAAGTTGCAAGGCACACTTTTTAGGTCAAATTATTATATAGTTAATTTGTATACACATCTAAATGTAGATAAAATATCAGTTAAGAGTAGTAGCATTCAGATTCAAGCAATCTTGTTGTTTTCCTCTTTGCACACCACAAGTTATATTTAATTTTTACAATTTTTAAACAGGGATGAACATGATTTGAATGTCTGGTAAGCTGAAAATTAAGGCACTGGGCCAAGTCAAAATTCAGTAAGTCAAACAAGTTATTGAAAAATATATGACACAAGTATTCCATGTCAGAATACTAAGCTTCAGTCTTACTGGTGCACAAAGGTGCTCTGCACAACTAGAGTTGGCTTTTTAGGCTTGTACACTGTCACAAATCAAAGTACTTCTTCTAGGAGGTGAAGTACTTCTTCTAGGAGGTGAAGTACTTCTTCTATTGGCTGATATGATTTATTAAAACTTGCCCTTTTCATTCATGTGAAATTCTGGTATGAAAAGACACAAAACCCCCAATACAGCACAAAGGCTTGTTCAGCTATCTAGAAATAAGATTTTATGTAGTGCATAAAAGTAAGTCTCCAGTAGGTCTGGACTGCGAATTTTCCACAAAAACACAGTCCTTATTGTACTTTGTCAAATTAATCTTAATTTCAATATTTCTATCTGCATTCAGATAAAAATACCTAGCTTAATTTATCAGAAACACAGGGGAAAATGTGAACAGGCACTAATGAAGGCCTAAACAGAGCCAGTCTCTTCTCTCACTGAGGCATATAGCCCCCTTGTCTCACAGTTTGTGGAAGGTAACTTTTTGGCATTTCATCAATTGACAGGGGATTTTCTTCCACTGTTTCAGGTCTCACAGTTTGTCCTTCAGTACTTGCCTGAAAAACATTTGATAGAGCAGCTTCCTGGGTATTTTTTTCCATCCCAAGGCCCAATGGCTGTGAACTCTGACCTGAGATCTGCAGTTGTACAAATCCAACAAGATCCCCCTCATTAGCATGAGTAATTTGCTTTGTTCTGTCAAAGCATGGTCTGTCTCTGTTGTTTTCATCCTGACCACCATTTTGTCTGAAATACTGCTGCCTCTGTGCTGGACTGTCATCTCCTCCAGCGTGATCCTCTGACCTCTCTTCTGAATCAAGCAGTGGCTGAGTTGACTCAGACCTTGAAAAGACTTGTACAGGAGTTTGATCTCTGTAGCCATTAAGAACTACAGTTGAATACTGTACAGTGCTTGAAGTATTTTGTGCCGTTTCACCATCATCGCTGTCAGAGACGCTTTGCCTAGGAGAAGACATACAGGAGGATCCTCCAATACCACTGCTGTGCCCTTCTGAAGTACTTTTTTCTTTTTTAAGTAAGTCAAAGGGTTTTAAATCTTGTTCTGAAAAAGACTTCTTGTCATCAGCTTCTATTTCTACGACGCTTACATCTGTAAAGCTGCCTTCCGGATACATCTGATCTTTGGAACTAAAGTTATGCTGAAAGAAAGATGCAAGTTGCCTAAGAGGAAGGTCATGTTAAAAAATCAACAGCCTCATTAAATATCTGAATTTTTATTCTCTAATGGCTTTCAATCTCTTCATATAAGTTCTATCTTTACTAAATCTGGCAATATCTCCAAAGTATCTGTTAAATGATAAAGGACGTAGTCTTGTTCCCAATGCAAAGTCTTAATTATGCTGCTACTTTAAAATCATAGTGGATGTGTGGGCAAACTTTGCTCTCATTTAATTATTCTTAAGAGCTGTAAGCATAGAACCATTTGCTATACAGCACAGGAACATTCTATATTGAGAACCATACATTACTTCAAATAATGTATTCAACATCACAGCACTTCTTCACAGAAGTTAGCCAAAATTTGTTGAATAGAATTTGCTATCTCATTCACAGGGCATAAATTTTGCTGCTATCTTCTCATCCATGAGAAACTCTTCGGAGTTTTCACTCTCATTCATGAGTGAACTGGGCAAACAAATCACTCTAGGGTTTTAAGAATGGGAATCATGAATTGTTTAGTTAATCCTGATTAAGTAAATTAGGACTTGGCCCTTCCAACTAGTAAACTGAATCTAATTCACAATGTATTTCTAATGCTGAATCTACTGATGCAATAAAGTCTTCTAACCATATTGTATCACAATGTCAATGAAACTTAACATCCAGGTTTTTCCTTGAAATCCATGTGTGCTAGAAGACAGAAAACTCCCATTGGTTAGTTTATCTGAAACCTTGTGAACTAGGAAGGTACAGAATGCAGAAAGGTGAGTACTACCTTAGCTGGAACTTGAGGAGACCACTGAGCAATGTTACTCTTGGATGGATCAGGTACTATAGGCCAGATATGCTTTTTAATTCTGCAAAGGATTAAAACCAGAAAAGTTACAAGACACACTCCCTAAATTCCCATGTTCATATAGCAAGTACAGCATAATCCAGGACACCACTCCTTTACACAGCAATTTTGCAAGAATATTTATTTCCAAATAGGAATGCTTCCTATGATACTTTACGTCCTTGTATGAAGTCGTACTACTCAGCAAAACATAACACTGCATTTAATTCCTCCACACAGATGCAGCCATCCAACATAAGGCAAAACAACAAATGGTAACAGTCAGCAAGGGATTTTCAAATTTATAGCACCCCAGAATCTACAGAGAAGTTACTTAGGTAGAGTCTATGATGCACATCAGTATAAAAATACACTCTTGCTTCATTAAGGTAACTGAATATCACAGGTCAAATTCTAAGATAACTTCACAGTTAAAAGTAAAGTGAAAATACTGAAGAAAAACTTGCTTTGTAACTTTAAAGTTTAAGAAAGTACTGACACTTAACAGAAGTTTCTGTTCATACATCCCCCCCAAAAAAACCAACTTTGAACCTGATGCACCTATCCCGCTCTTTATAAACAGGCTCCAACAACAGATCCTCTCTAGGAGAACTATGAAGAACATTGCAAGATGTGCTTTTCAACTAATGTCCAATAAGACTGATTTTAGGAGCAGCAGGGATGTCAGAAAGAAAAGGACATACAATGCTGTCTTCAATTAGAAAGAAAGGAAGTTGACTGGTGACATCAGAGAGGTGCTATTCCTTGCCAAGGGAAACACTGCAGCAACAGCATTCTGGTTAAAGCCACAAACAAGAGCTGTGGGGTGAGGGAACAGGCAGGTTGTTTTCCAGAAGATAGTAAACAGACACAGAATTTGACTGAGGTTATGCAAGGTAGATCGAGATGTCTGCCGAACTTTTTTTTGGCTGTAAAGCCTAATATTTGTTAACACTGTAATTAAATAGCCCGAATAGAGCTAACAAATAGACCTCCTGTGCTTCACAAACTAGGGTCCATCATTCCACTCATATGATGACTGAGAAAACACAGACAGTATACCCTGATCAAAACCTAACAAACCTAATCCTAACCAACTCTAGCAAGAAAAGCAGGAATTTACGTACAGGATTGAGTCACGGAACATTCTGTATGTGTGCAGTTAACAGTAAGAAATCAGTAGAAGAAGAGGCCCTGATTTCTCAAGGAAAACACAAAAGTTTTTAATGCCAATCACTGTATGCGTGGTTTACATTTTTTTTTCTGAACTACCTGTAGAATACTTACTTGTCTGGTATTGAATTAACATTTCTATTATGCTCAGAAATATAGGAAGTATAAGAGAAAGACTTCATTTATACTTACAAGTCACGTTTGTTGAAGCAAAACAGAACTGCAAGGAGCACAATCAGCAGGAATGCTAGACACACAGGTACAACTATGGCTTCTATTTCTCCTTTCCCTGAAGAAGATGAAGAGAAGCAGTTATAGCCCACTTGGACATTTAAGGAACTCAGCAGAGGATCAGGGAAAACCTGAAATTGAACACACCTTCAACACTCAATTCTCAAGTTTCACATTCAGAAGGAAAAGAGCTTATTTATTAGTGAAAACATAAGGAGCTCTGGCCTAAAAATATAATGCCTTGCATCAACAAAAACCATGGGTTGATCTAGAAGTTGTAATACTGACAGAGCAAATAATTTTGCGGTTTGGGCAGGTATGACAGTAATGTCTATGTCAATTTGTCTGCCATCCAGGGGTTTCAGTGGCCTGTTGGCTGCCATTACACAGCCGTGGTCAAATAAGTAATGCAGGTAAAGTAACTACTCATCCATGAGTTTATTCTGTACATGAAAATAACCTCTGCCTGCAAACACTTAAGTCTGCACTACTATTACGTATTCCTTCCAATGTCACACATATTCTTAAGTAAACCTTAGAGAATGCTTAGGGAAGAGCAACACTATACAGAAAATAATACCTCTGCTAAATCTAAAGAAGTATCTTCCACATCTAAATTCAGTTAATAATGTTGCTCTGACCATTACAAATAAGAAGCGCTCTAAAGCTGAACATACAATAAATTTAACTATTCAAATTTAAGTATTCAAAATGAGTCTCTGTAGAGAATCGTAGCAAACTTTAATAGTAATATGAAGGAGCATGCAGAACCTGAGGAAGGGCTGTAAGAATGGCATATGCTGACTAGAACCTAGATCAGCAGATCAAGATCCAAGCTTCTTAGGACACCCGAATCAGGGTAATAAAGGCCAACCTATCTTCAGATTAGAACAAAGACTCTGACCAGGGTAGGTGCCACTGAACACCAGAAGAGACAAGAACACTGAGTAAATCCTAATGACTCATGAAAAGTCAGGGCAAAACAATACTATAACCTAAAGTATACACAAAACACATCGAAATCAGCATGCTTGACAACATAAGAGCTACTCAGGAGACTTGCCACTCTTCCTTACCAAATTTTTGTGTAGTAAATGTGAAATCAGGACCACTCCTGCTTCCATTATCTGTGGATGCCATCATCCGCACAGTATACAGTGTGTCACTGGTTAGAGAGGAAAGGGTATACTCTGTTTTGGAAGGATCCACTGTCACAACTGAAGAGAGGGAGAAATTTATACTAGTTTTCTGTAACATTTATTAGATCTCCAAAAAACCAGCAGCATTAAGACATTCAAGACTTCAGATGTACAAGACAGTTTTAGCAGAATGTGTGGTTGCACAGAAAACACAACACACAGAAAGACTACAAACCTGTACAAGAAATGCTGACATTCATTTGTTTCTGTTTAAATGTTTTAAATCAGTCTTCTTTGATATTATTTTATATTTAGTTTAATTTCCCCTGAGATTTTTTCCCCAGAATGCACCAATAAACTAAACTAGTAGTAAAGCTGAGGCTTAAAGGTGTCTAGTAGGCCAAATACATAGCTAATTAGAAATAGCTGGTTATGACTAGAAAAAAACCCATGGTTAAATATGATAAGACATAGGGTATGCGTAAGTACTTGGCCCTTCTAATTTAAACAAATCTAGGAAGGAAATTCTGATAGTGCTAGCTCCCTGTCTCATGCCTGCAGGTCATATACATTACTGAAAACTAAGATGTACTAAAAACAAAATGATTTATATCAGTACTATAGTGATCTATAGCTCCAGAAGGACTATTAAACTCTTCCCCATCACCCTTTTTTAAGGTTTTATGATAGTTAAATGTAGTCAACTCCTTTTATATCTTGGAATGGTCTATCATCATCTTGATATACCACCATCTCACTCTGTATTTAGACAGAAATATGGGAGCACAATATCCACAAATCAGCTTTCAGAAACTAAACACAGTACCCTGCTATACACAGACTGAATGTTCTGAATTCTCTGCTAGGGACGTTTCTGTTCTAGATGGAGAACTATGACCCAGACATCAGCTTTACGTTATCAGAAGAGACTGTCAACCACACTTGATTCTTTATCTTTTTTTTCCAGAAACAAAGGTTAGGAAAGAGACAGATGAAACACTTCAATGCCACAAACCACTTCTGTTTTTTGGTACCTGTTTCATTTCCATCAATAGTTTTGTAAAGTATGGTGTAATTTCTGATAAATCCATTTTGTTCATCCACTGTGAGATGGTTCCATGTCAAAACAGCTTCAGCTTTTCCTACTTTTTTTGTCTGAACAGTAGGTCCTTTTGAAGGACCTGTAACGGCAGATGAAGATTAGTTCCTGTTCGGCAGCCTTGCATCCACAGAAGCAAGTGTATCAACGAGTACTGAATTGCTATTGCATAAAAACTTCAACTGAATAGTTGGACTAACTCTTTTGAAAAGCACTGTTTTCCGACAATATAAAAACTACAAAGACGTTTTAAAAAAGAAACCTTCAGGAAAACAGATATGAAAAAGAATAATCACCACATCACATGAAATCTTCAACTGAAGTTAATTAGTCTTGGTTTTATACGTGAAATTTAAATAAATCAGCATATAAATATCACTATACTAATAAAATAAACTCATGTCAAATTATCTGATAAAGGTTGGAAAAACAGAAAACATCAGCCACAGACATCTATTTAACTCCTGAATACTGTAAATAAGCAGAATGGATAGATACAAACAGAAGAGACTAGATCAGTTATGTCAGAAGTATTAGACTGTTTTTCACTACGTAGTCCACATTGAAGCAAAGGCCTCATTTTTCTGTCAACAAGGTCAGTTTATATGCTCCAAGATGATGATTTCGTACTTACGATCTTGCTTCAGATAAGCCTTCACAGACTGTCCACTTCCCTGACCATCAGCATATAGAGGGTACACAGTTATCAAGTAACACTTGAACGGCTTTATACCTAATGAAAGGAAATTAAAAGGTGTTGTTTATTCAGACAGTCAAATTGCCCACCATCCTTCTCATTTACTTCAGATACAACAGACTTCTGAGTTTTGTCTTTTTAATTAGATGCACTTCTATCTAAGGTAGCTGAGTATTTTCTAGAGCTCATTGACATATAGCTCCAAAATATTAACTAGAGGAACTGAATTCACATTCAAATGTTAAATTTAATAAACAGACTTCAAAGAAGTCAGTGGTCTTTTTCTAATTTATTTGAAATAAAAAGCCTTCATCTGTCTACAGCACTAGCTCCCAAAATTATTGATTTGAGTTACTGATCATAATCTGAAAAGAGCAGCAAAGCTGATCAAGTTTCAATATTTGAACTGAAGAAGGATCAGAGAGTTTGATTTTGAAGGAACTAAGCCTGTTCACTATTTTAATGGTTTCCAAGAATGAAAAGACTAAAACCAAAATGCAGATAAACCCCCTTGCTGTTACATGATATAAATTTCCAAATGCAAGATCAGATACAGTTATATGTTCGACAAAAATATACCTATGATAAACTAAAAGAAACCCTCTCAGCACTAACTCAGTTTCCTGTTCTACCACAAAACTCTAATCAGCATGAGGATGTTCTTCACCTTGAGAATACTCACTATGTTTTTACAGCATCCCACTGTAAAACTTCTGTACACTTATGAGCTGAATACCTTTTAAGTCTATTCCTTGAACATCTCCTTGTGCAATCTGCCATTCTATGATGCAGTCTGAGCGGCTGGACACCAGACACCATTCAACCACATATTTAAGAACATAATTGTTAGGAGCAGTCCACCCTACCCACAACTTGTCATATTTAGGCAATGTTCTAAGATTCTTCACAGGAGCTGTAATGAAAGAAAACAGAAAAGTGATCAATATGGACAGTTCTTCCACTAGATATTCATTATAAGAGATATTCTGTCACATGTTGATACTTTTGGGTTATTGTGATGGTGGCAAACTGACAGAACCTTTGTAAAAACCATTTTCTGAAATTTGGAGGTTTACACCTGAATCTTTGTATCAGAGATTCAAAGTAAGCAGCATGAGGCTATATGAATATCGGAAATTAGACTCCGCTTCTCTGTTCTCCAACACAGTAAGCTGCCCCATTGCATGTACACAGACGCTGTATTTCTTGCTTCCAAAAGAAAGGGTCTATTTCAGAGAGAAATCAAATTTAAAATGGGAATTTAAAGGGTATAAAACAGTCAAAATTAAGTACCTTACTAAGATTTATACCTTACATATAGTATAAATATATATAAAGTATACAGTATATATGTTATATACTTGTATACCTTATATATACACTATATACTTACACCTTACTAAGTGCTTACTTCTGTCTGCAGTGCTACTTTATTTGAATCATACCCTTAACTAATTATCTAATGGTTTTAGAACCAGTGACTCTCCCTTGTGTTTACTCTAAAAGCAGCATCTACCCGTAAAAGTTTTTTTTGCTTCCCCTCTTGGTAATGTTTGGGCTGTCAAAGAGAAGGCTGGAAGTAAGGAGAAACCAGCCTGTAGTTATTATTACTGCATAATAAAAAGAACATGAAAAGGAACATGAACAGTAAGGAAACAGTGGAAGCATATGACAAAGCAACCAGGCAAGATACTGAAAATGTGGGAGAGTGAGACTGGGAAAAGCAAAGAAAGAGGCGGGAAGAAGATCAGGAAGTTAAAAGAAGAGCAATGGTAAAACTATATATACATGAAGTAAAGAATGTTTGCTTCTGCAACACTTTGATTTCTTTTTCAATAAGGACACAAAAATGCCTGCTGTGCTAAGAAAAAAACAACAGGGAATATAGGGTACAGCAGTTCTAAGGATCAAATCCCAGTAAAACACACACATAGCTTTAAATGACCCTGTGAGTACGTAAATCCACATGTTCCCTGGTATACAAATGGTAGAACAGTTATAAACATGTGAGACTCTAGATACATTCAGTAATGCTTTAATTACGTGTCCATGTAAGAGGTATAATTTTACAACACTGAAGATTTTTTGTAACAAAAGCCATGGAGATTTATTTGACATAGACATTACCAGGACACTAACCTTTTGAATTACTTGCTGGGATAAGTAAAACTGATGGAGGAGATGCCCCAACCCTGTTACGGGCAATCACAGTCACTTCATAAGTTCCATTTGGCAGCTGTAACGTAAGGTTGGTGCTGGTAACATTGAATTTCTTCAGTGGACTGGAGAGAGATGATTTATCTCTGACAGTCAGTTCATACTGCAAGATTACTCCATTGGCTTCAGAAGGCTTCACTGCCTGTCAGAAACACATTTTTGATTAAACTAACATGACATATACCTTACTGTCTTTGAGGCGCAATTTAAAACTCTGAAAACAAAAAAAGTTACATAGATCAAATACCTGTGTATTTAAGACAAGCGTAAATAATCCTTGTTCATTTCTGCAAAACAGTAAATTCTAAAACTATTTTTCATTTAAATACTATTTTTCTTGGATCACAATCTCACCTAGTGACTTAATAAAAGCTATTCTGTAAAGATTGCATAACATATGTTGATAAAACCTCTGTTTTATGTGACTTTACAACACAATGACATAAAAGGAGTCTCACATCTTAATCTGTGCTGAATCTGAAGCAAAACACCCCAAGTAATTTCATTATGCATGGCAAAAATACTTGTTTGTGTCATGTAACAACACAGAAAAATACTATGTTTCTGTGTAACACTATCAGTTTCCACAAAAATTAAGAGAAAATTGTTGAAACTGCAAAGAAGTAGCGATTTTTCCATTCTAAGCTAAATAATGTCAGAAGCAGAATCACAGAATATCCTGAGATGGAAGAGACCTTCATGGATCATTGAAGTCCAACTCCTGGCCTTGTCCAGGACCACGTGCCTATCAGCATTGTCACAAGTGGTGTCAGAAAATGATGCCATATTGATTTACATGTAACTTCACACAATCCGCCTAGCAATAGGCAGATTAATAACAAAATTAATAACAAAAAGATAGCTGGGACACAGTTTACGGACCAAAAGAAAGCAGGGGATGGGGACTGACCATAATTACATTCCCTGTCTCAGCTGGACCAATCATCCAATTGGATGCAGCAGCCTACTGTATGCAAACATAGAGTGCTGTATTTAATAAGCCTGACCTGTGCAGGATTTCTAGGCTTACTGGATTTTGCAGCTGGGGTTTCACTGTCCAGAGAGTGCTACCAAAGCTTTAAGTTACAGCAGAAGACATTACATGAAGGTTTGCTTTGTTCAAGTAGAAGTTCCAAATTCACAGACTCCTTAAGGACAAGTCAGGAATCTGAAAGTGTATTCTGTATACTCTGGATCACAGTTGTGTGTCAGTTAACTGATGGTCTTTACATCTCCACTTTTAACTTCTCATAACTCATTATTATAATAAGAACACTAAAGTAACTTCTCATATCAATAAAACCTGTACTATCCCACCACCCTACTCAAGGTTGTCAGGGCACATTTCTCTACTTAAAAACTCATGTTTTCAGAAGAATGCTCAATTTCTGCAGTTTATCACGTTGCTTTACCTTCCACATCAGATGCACAGTCCAGGAAGCCGGTGAGTGAGATGCATCAATGATCCTCCATATGGGTGGTCCTTTAGATGGTTCTGATGAAAGAAACAATGCTTAATAGTAGAAATATTTTTATTTAATCTGTTTAAATTTATACTTTGATTATCATATGCTTTAAATAGATATGACTTTTATATTTTGTATATTAATCATTATGAGGTTTTATCTGTTTTACCTCAAAAACCCCTCAGTGTTAAGTATATAGTGTGCACCTTGTTTCTTATGATTTACATTATGAGGGAAGGAGAACCAGGAACTGAGGCAAAAGGAGTTCTTAACCTCACCTGAGTACCTGCATTTGGTTCACATGAAAACAAAGCAACTGTACATCTTGCCTAATATGGATCATGTTCATTTGCTACTATAACACTGTTGTTCTAAAGCTAAAATAAGACATGTTCTAAAGCTAAAATAAGTTAATCAATATCAGCAGTATTTTTGCAAAGCCAGTCACTACAGCAGAATAGCAATGCAGTCTAAACAGGCAGGCAGTCCTGAAATCCTCATTGCTCAGCCTGACGCAGAAATACAGAAAATGAAGCCATACTATCATTAGGAGTTCAAAGGCAGCTACTAGAATACTGAAATAATATTTTACTATATCTCCCCCAGAGAAAGTAAATTTTGCAATTGAAGCAATGCCATTATGCACAAAAATTCCACTTTGTTTAAACAAAAATTACCAAAATATTTTTCTTATTGTGCCAATCTAAGATGACAAATTCATTCAATTAGAACTCATTATTGCAAACTCAGTCAGGATAAATAAGGAAGGAAGGATTTCTGATCTGTTTTAACAATGGAACCTATAGCAGTTTAGCTTTGTTTAAAGGCATGCTCTGACACTTTGGAGCAAACAGACTGCTTAGAAGACAGCACGCCTTGGAAGGCATTATGGAATACACAGGATATTACAGAAAAAAGACTAGGAAGGCGCAAGCAGGAAAGGCTAAAGCCCATTAAAAAAAAAAAAATCAATCAGGTTGACTAGAAGCTAAACTGCTATCACAAAGTATTTGCAGCAATGGAAAGCAGGAATAGATCCCTACTGACTATTAAGTACACAAACAGAAAGTCTGTACACTGGCTCCATGTGGGGTAGGATCAGCATAGGCCAGAAAGAAAGCCAATTTTGCAGGCTATCAAAGTAGAAGAGAAATGGAAACTGGACCAAGCTAAAGTAGTTTCATTCCTCACAACTCTAGAATGAGTTTCTAACTGATACTAATAACCACGTTCCTAGAAAAACAAGATAAAATCCACACATTATTTAATTCCCTTTAAAGTCAGAAATCAGCAAGTGATTCCTAGTGCTGCTACCACTGATGATTCATGAGGAAACCAAACAAACTTTTAAAATAAAATCCCTTTGAGGGCAATTTACTAATTCTAGAATCCCAAGAAATCACAATGCATATTATTGTAACTTACATAACTATGCAACAAATCTATTCTGCTGGATATGAAGACCTTTGGCTAGAGTCACTATTTGGAGACAAAAAGCAGCTGTCTCCTCGTAAGGATTATGTAGTAAAATAACTGCCAAAAGATTTCAAAATTGTCAGAATGCTTGCATTACTCTAACACTGTAATTCTGCATTTGTGCATTTCCATTTAAAGATTCTATTGAAACTTCACTTGATTAGTTACAATATTTAACGCTTGGAAACATAACACTTAGATAAAACCATATGAAAAATAGAGAACTGTACCTTCCTCAAAACAGGAGGGTAAACATGCCTGTATCTTGGTAGCTTGCTACTGAGACAAACACCAAACCTTTGAATGCAGAGGGCAAGCAGATGTGGAACCTTCTGGGATGTGGGTCTAACAGTCATAGACAAAGTACAGTATTCAGAAGTCAATTTTCTAATTTGACTGAGGGCAATAACAACCATATAAGTAACTTAAGTGTCCAGTGTCTGCTTGTTTCTCGTTTAGTCTTTGCAATTCAAAAATAAAAATATATTAACAAAGTTTTGGTTTAGTTTTGCCAAAATTGCAACCTAGAGTCCCTTGTCTAAGCTTGACACTGGGTAGAAAAACAATCACGAAACTATGGACTTCACAACCTCCTTTCCAATTAAAGTTATCCCACTATCCTATAAATTTTTGAGGGTATCTAGGCATTTGCAAGAGGTGACCACACCTCTTAAGTTGTCCATAAGTGAACTCAGAATAGGAAATTATCCTACTGTCAACTTATTCCTATAATAGCATAAAGTGCTATCTGATTAGTAAGCAATGTAGGAAAAGTGTGACTATCCTATTGTCATTAGGAAGGCTAGTTATGTCAATAAGTTAAAATGCTTTTCTACCACTGTATTTTCTACCACTGTATTTTCATTTACAATGTATCACAACTAATGACACAGGTATTCAACAGCGTACTGCACACTGAAATTAATTCATTTTACCTTTAGCCACAAACCAGACAATGTAGGGTGTTCTGACACCAATACAGGTTCAAAAACATTTCAAACATCTATTAAAGATGTTGAATTAGTTCCAGTTCAAACTATGCAGGTTACTAAGATGAATGACAAAACAAAAACAGACCACAGAAAGCTAAGTTCTTGATGAGTGTGGAGGTTTTATACTGAAAGCAAATTAAAAGGCCAAATGCATAGGTCTAGGTTGTGTTTCAATATATGCTGCATGTAATTTTGTTCTGTTAATGGAAAAATGTAAGAAATTACTATTTGATAAGAGGATTTTACACAGTAACAAATGCATGGGTGTGATTTTACTGCTCAGTCATTGTTGTGCAACTTTATACATCATACGAGTTTCTAGTTGCTTGACACAATTGCTAAGTCATTAAATGATGCAAAACAAAACAGCTAAACAACATCAGTAATAAAAAATGCTAAATATACTCAACTAATGTTTTTAGCACAACTCAGTGACGGAAGGTACAATCTCTGTACTCAAGCACAAGCTTGAGGGAGAGCCACTCTAGTGGGGACGTATTGCAGTGATTTCCATGAATTGAGAAGTCTATTGAATTCATAACACAGCAAGTTGTAGTTACTTTAATGCCATGGTACATTTCAAGCAGTGAGTGTGTTCATGAGCAACTCAGAGCAATCAATGAAGTTAAAAAATGTGCTGTGGAATGCAGTGGGCACACATCTTAGAAGACAGTGAGTGCACTCTCTGTGCCACTGTCCTGAAGGAATATGAATATGACCAGGCTGAGGTAGCACACCTGCAGAACATGCAGTTCAATGTAAACAGATAATGTCATAACAGCTGACTGAAGCACTGCAAGTAGTTGAAAGGCCAGGCAAGTTGGCGAGCTGGTTGTAGCATGAACAGATTTACTGTATGGCAACAGTTTTACAATGCTGAGGATTTGTTCCACAAAGCACTGAAAGTTGAGGTTTGACTGATATTCTTAAGCAGCTTCTTTTTTTAAACAGGGTTGTGAACTTTAAACCTAGTCGTTTGCTACCTTTTGTGTATTTTTATACTTTAAAGTTTACACTTTGAAATTGTATGTATCCTGCTTGCAAATTCCTTTTGTGCAAGACTAAACACGATTCAAATACTGACCCCAAAGAGCTTAAGTATGAAGTTGGTAAGAACTTTTCCTCGTTAAATTATGACCATAGCAAGCAGTGTTCACCCCTACTGAAAGGAATGGGATATTACAAGTCAAATCTATAAAACAACAACTCCAATGGTACATCATCAAGAAGGAACACCAAGGAAACACTGAATTTTGTGATTAATTATAAACAAAATAAAACTATCTTCCACACTAACTCAATCTTGCTTAAACTGAGATGACTTTTATAGATGGCATTCCCTTTCTTATGCCTCTCACAGTGAAAACTATATCAGTGATGAGCAGCAGGACTCTTGATTACTATGTGTATAATGTAAACAGTGAGTACAAGACAGAGCAGAGACAGCTGTAAATGACTAATAAGAAGAAAGTGTTACAGATGCAGAAAACCTTAGGAAAAGTTAAAAGTAAATCAGAATGTTTTATTTAGATGCTTTGGTGCATAAGAGGCTACACGTACTATATGCACATTATTTTGTATCATTGTTTTACTAAGTTTGTGAAGAAGTCTATGCATCCTATGTGAGTAAAATCTTCTGTTTCATAATTGTTGATGCTTGTTCAACTACAACTTTATCTACTGGTGTCCTAAACGTCATGTTGTTCACAAACTAAGGCAGTAGGTCTACCAATAAAACACTTCCTAATAGGCAGAATAACTTCTGTTACAGAGGATAACCTTCAGAATAAAAAAACAAGCATAAAGCCTACATCTCCTCTAGAAGACTTCCTCTAGAAGACACAGAAGTTTTCTGTGAAGAAAGCTTCTTCCCTACCTCCCATTCCAGCTGTTTTCAGGAAGCACCGCTAGATTGGCTCAATGGGAAACTATTCTTATGCTCCTTGGAATGCATGGGTCAAGTCAGTCAGTGCTGAAAGTAACTCAGGAGAGCTTTGTTGCATGTCTAATCAAGAAACTCAAGTGAGGATACACAACTTCAGCTGGCTATTGCCAAAATGCTGAAAACTCACATACTTTGAAAGTCAGTGACCTACTTTCATATATTACTTACTATCTTCAGTAGTGATTCCAGTCTTTTCTTCACTCCAGTCACTCCAGTAGCCCACTCCATCTTCCTTCATGCAACGAATGGAAAAGACATACTCTGTGAAGGGCTGGAGCCCTTGAACACTGAATGAAGTTCTTGGGGAAGCTGTATCTTCAGAAGGAATCTATACATGGAAGAAAGATTTTAAAGGCACTGATCAAAATACTGTAAAGCTGAGTTGTGTGCTACAACTGTAATTCAATAGGGCTCCCCACTGCATACATGCCTATAACAAACAACAGTTTTCCTCCCTTCTTATTTCCAAAAGCTTCAATTCTCCACCACTGTTTGACAAAGATTCAGTCAGAGTTGTGTGTCTTTACCAGGTATAACAACATACATGCACTAGAATAGTTAAGCACCCACCTCAGGACAACCTCTCATATTCTGTTATTTTAGCTTATATCTCTCTCTCTCCTTCCTTCTCATATAATTCTAATTCTGCTACTTACTGATCTGTAATACCCTGTCTCACATTTCAGAACTTCGCTAGGTTATCTGCTTAATAATTGATTGCAAAATTATTGATTGCTAGAAACCTTCCATAAATCTGAAGAGTCTAGGATCATTGCTTTCACTGACACAGAACAGTGTTTTTTAACTGACAGTGAAAATAATTCTGAAGTAGTTTATACTTTTGCTAATAAATTAGTTTATAGGCTCTTTTGTTTATGTTAGGTGAGCAACTGAATGCCAGAAAAATAATCTTACTGTCTATGTACGGAAACAGGTGTGATGTAAATAGACACAAGTAGGTACATACACACACACTGACTCTGTCACATGTTACTCCATTTGCAACAATGTTTTTATAGTGAGGAATCCTGCAAGAGGAATAACTGTAGATAAAACATAAATGCAGGACACTTCAGAGGTGAATCTTGAGAGCAAAGAATTACCAAGATAGTCAAAATTTACCACAGCTAAGCAAGTTCAGCTAATTTAAAAGTTACTGTTTCAATGGTCTTGTGCACATGTTAAAAGGGCCAAGACAAGTTAAAAGAACTTGCCCTATTGTCCTATAAAGACAAAATATCCACAGATCCTGGAGCTGCAGACTACACTGTGCAGGTCAGTGCTCTTTAAAATATCAATACAGGTGATCTAAAGCCACATTAGTCACAAGGGCAGCTGAGTTATGCCACCTGCTTCAAATATAGTATTTTGGTAAAGTTAGAAGCAGATTTCCTTCCAAACAGTCATGGAATTCAGAATATTTTCAGGCCTCTGCACCGAAACAAGATCTTGGAAAAAAAAGAGCATTTCTGGAATACTGCTGCTCTGATAGAGGCCTAAAGTAAGGAAAAACTGAGAAGCTATTAAAAAGAAGAAAAAAACCCCACTTACTCTCTCGCTGTTCCTTGACTGCAACACACTTAAGGAAGGAATGCACGGCAGCCAGATTTACAGAATCACATAATCATTGAGAATGGAAGAGATCATTGAGGCTAACCATATACCTATCACTGCTAAGTCCACTACCGAACCGTGTCCCTAATGCCACATCTGGACACTTTCCAAACAGTTCCATGGATGGTGACTCTACAACTTCCCTGGGCAGCCTGTGCCAATGCTTGACAACCCTTTCCATGAAAAAATTCTTCCTCACATCCAATCTAAACTGCCCCAGCACAACTCGAAGCCATTTCCTCTTGTCCTAACACTTCTTACTCAGGAGAAGAGACTTACGCTGACCTCGCTACAACCTCTTTTTTGGTAGTTGTAGAGCGTGATATGGTCTCCCCTGAGCCTCCTTTTCTCCAGGCTGAGTACCCTTCACCAGCTTCACTGCCCTTCTCTGGACACTCTCCAGCACCTCAATGTGTTTCTTGTAACGAGGGGCCAAGAACTAAACACAAGATTCAAGGTGCAGCCTCACCAGTGCTGAGTGGAGAGGCTGGTGAGGAGACACTCACTATCCTGGTCCTGCTGGCCATATTATTTCAGACCCAAGCTAAGATGCCATTGGCCTTCTTGGCCACCTGGGTACACTGCTGGCTCATGTTCAGCTGCTGTCGATCAGCACTCCCAGGTCCTTTTCTGCCAAGCAGCTTTCTAACCACTCTGCCCCAAGGCTGTACCACTGCTTGGGGTTATTGCAGCTCTAATGCAGGTACAGTAAATTCAAAAAAGCATTCCAGAATGGTAGAGTGTTTACCCAAGCTCTAAATGACATTTAGATCACTGTTTTCGCAGTGCATGGGAAGCAGAAACTTCTGAATGTTCTGTATGTTGCATATGCAGAAAAAAAATTCAAAATAAACATACTGCACTGTGATAGGGAGGACAGCAGAGAGGCCCATGAAGATAAGAGAATGTCACTGTACTCACAGTGTGCCAATAAACTGCTAGTTCACAGCCCTCATGAACAGGCCAGATAAACTACCATGGGTAGGCATATAAGGTGTAAAGAAATAAAAGTGAATGCTCTGAACTGCAACATTGAGGGAACTTCTGCAGCTTGACAGATGGCTGGGTAACACAAGAGTGGCAAGGGACATAAATGGTATTACCTCCATCCAGTTTGTGTCACCAGTGATCCTATAGCGAATATTGAATTTCAGCTTCATCACAGCAGATGAAATACGATTCTCCCAGGAAAGCTTCAGGACAGTTGGCAGTATTCCTGAGCTGACTGTTACATTGTGGGGAGGCAGTGGTTGAACTAGAAGAGGAGAAGTCAGAGTCAGCTCCACAGCTGTATTTTACAATGATTTTAGGAGCTGGTACACTCTATTGCAACACTACCATTAAAGCCTTTCAGAAGCTCAAATGCCTGCTACTTCACGTTATCTTCTAAAGCAGACTACTCAACACGAACTTGCTATCTGAATTGTGATGAAATCTCTCTGCCCCTACCTTTGCCCAGCACAGTTCAAATTCTAGTCAACAACATTTTTGCAGTGTTAATTTTTATAGTGAAGATACATTAACATACTAACTCACCAATATTCACAGAAGCAGTAATGCACTATTAAAGCTTTAACAGGCATATAGTTACCAATATCAATGGGATCAAGAACAAGGGGATCAGATTCAGCCTTCCCAAGAGCATTTGCTGCTTCTACCCAGATCTCCAGGTTAACAAAGAACTGAACATCAGGAATTGTACAAGAATTGTTTACATCTTTTGGTACACAGTCAGGAAAATTCTCTCGTGGCCTAAATAAAAGAGAAGGAAAAACAAGGTACAAAGCAGTAAGTTTGGTTTGCTTTAGAGAATATTTTAAAGTAGATCAGAGCGATCAATCGGTTTATTTTGTATGTTTCCCCTCTACCACCCCCATGTCTTATCTCTGTAAGCAGATGGGTGAGAAGAAAACGTAAACATATGAGAATGGCTTGTTCAGCCACAAATGCATAATTGCATTAGAACTGAAACCAGAATAAAATCTCTTGGCTTCCAGTCACATACCTTCAAAAGCACAAGCCACAGTATTTTAATTAAAGCTGTATAAAAACCTGATTTAGCTTAAAAAGATAAAGATCAAGAACTGATACAACTAATCAAAAGCAACATGGTTACTAAATAGAAGCATATTTATGCATTAAAGAATGTAGTCAGTACTACCTATATAGCCATCAAGAGTACAGTGTTAGAGGTGCAACACAATTTCTGTTCACCACCTCTGCTACATTAACAGTAGATAATTCTAGGGCATCAGGAGATTTGCAAAGCACTAAGGTTTTCTATCTGTGCATACTTTCTACCACAACTGTTACCACAACACTTTAGCAGAACTGGGTAGATGGAAAGCTGAAGGCAGTCACTCTTATTTCCAGAGCAGAGCAACAATTCTGCTCATTCCATTTTAAACTACAAGAGACCATTTGAAGAGTTTGAAAAATACTTAATTTGCTTTCACAGTAGAAATACTTTGCTGAAGCTTTTATGTTAGGATCAATTCAGAATAGTGTTTGTCCACGATTCTTATGAAGTGCAGAGTAGATAATACCTCTGCAAAATTCAGTCACTATATATTGGTTTCTCTACTTAGAATCATAGAATGGTCTGGAGTGGAAGGGACCTGTAAAGGTTACCTAGTCTGATCCTCCTACAATGGGCAGGGATCTCTTCTACTTGTTTAGAATGGGACAGAACAGTCAACTCAGAAAAATGAAAAATATATAATTTGGGTACAGCCACCTTTTATTAGACATATTGTAGTCAAGCCACACTTATCATGTATTTGAAGAATGGAAAACCATGAGATTGCTGTTACTCTAAAACAAGTGCAGCGACAAATTTCATGTCTGACTTAGAATTATTTTCAATGACAACTTCTTTAACTCTTCCCTTTCCCCTCAAACCAGACAGATAACAATGCTTCAGAAAACTGGCCTTAAATGTTAAGAACTTTTCCAAAGCATCAAGGAATTTCAAGGAAGTTTGGCTTAGCCTACAAATATTCTTCACAACTATTCAGATATTCTATAGAGGGTTACTTACCACCTGTATCTTAATCTGAACTGAGTATCCAGGAATGTATGCCTTCCAGGGTTCCAGGTACAAGTCATAGGATATGTGAGTTTTGACACCTGATGCACAATGCAACTTAAGTTCTTGGGCTTCTCTGGGGGCACTGTACAGAAAGTTAGCTACAATTAATCTATACACACACTTCAACCCAGTAAGAATCATTCAAAGTGTTCCATTAGGGCAATTTCAGTGAACATCAGAAGTATTTACTCAATTTTATTTCTAAAGGAGGTGGCAAAAGAGTGCTAAGGTATGATCCAGCAATCAAAGTCAAGAAGCTTAACCAGTTGCTTTGAAAAACAGTAGGCTGTATAAGGAACAAGCACTCGCCAGCAAGGAATGACAAAGATTTCTCATTCTGAAGCAGAAAATCTGATATCAACCAATTCTCATCTAAATATATTTTACTTCATACAGGATGCTTTAGCTGCAAATGCATGCGAGAAGATTAGGGATCTTCATCAGTGCACTGTACTGTGTAAGAAACTTCTTCAGAGTGCAGCAAAACTATCTGCTTTCCTTCTTAAACTTATATTGTATTCTTCTCAAACCTGTTGTTAGCTTCCTTATTTAGTTCTTCTTTAACTGAAATCAAAATACAATAGCTTTAAATACAAATGCATGTCAAGATGCATAATGTGAGTTACAACTGTAGAATGTCATCTGTACTGTCCTTCAGTTTGTCATAATTTATCTGTCCTCACCTTTACATATGTTTTATCTGTCACATCTTTTCCAGTGAAATATTTACTCCTCAGAAGTTAAAACAGGAAACATTACTTTTCTGTGAAAGTACTTTGTAAGTCATGCTAGAACCACATTAGTTTAAATTGTGAACTCAAGCCAGTGGACCATTCAACAACTGCAGTACCTTTTGCCAACACCAGGAGACAACATAATTAATCAGCCATATCATACAATATTTAGGACATTTGAACACTTATTCCATAAGCAGAATACCAGGTAATTAAGAAGTAGCACATTAAGTTTTTCATGCCACTTTCTGAAGACCTCAGTCTTGTCTCAAGGAACATTTGCTCAGAACTACACAAGTACTATCATTCTAGAACAAGGGAAGTTTATAATAAGTTACAAGTATTTCCTTATGTTTAGAGGTAAAGTAATACAAGTAATATGTTCCATCCTTAAGGTAGTTCAGGTTAGCTATAGTGACACAGATGGACTAAGTATTTCTCAATCCATTAGTGAAGAAAACATTAATTTCAAAATTCAAAATCAACACTGACACAGAAGAAGTAAGGAAAAGTAAATTTCCTAGGATCTATTTCTGTTAAATCCACATCTTAGTTCTGTAATTCAAATCTTCCTGCTTGAAGGTTTTTCTGTTGTTCTGGTTTCATCCTATTCAAACACTGAAAATGCTGAGTATTTTCCACTTTTTAGAAAACTTTATTCAGTGCATATTTACCAGCTTTGCTGTCATGTAATTTGACACTATTTTTCTACAATTATCCAGGAACTGAGGGAATGAAAATAAGTGTATCAAGGAATGCACACTTTCCATTGTTTTCATTTTCCCCTATTTCTCAAAAGACCAGAGTAACATGAAAAAAAATGGTACTCACAGCCTACTGTAACTGTAATTCCATAAATGTTCTGTTCAATCTGTCCATCTGCTAAAATGTTGCATGTCAGAGGAGTAGCTAGCGAAGAAGTGTCATTAAATGTGACACTGGAAACCGTTCTGTTTATTTCACGATATTGTTCTTTAGGTACCACTCTATTTTTAATTTTCCAGATAATCTGACTAGCATAGATATTGCCAAAGTCAAGACAACTCTCATTCAGAATGCATAATGCTGTGAAATTGGAACCAAGGGCCAATACAGGAGATTCCGGGATGATGTGACCACATGACTGCACAAGTCCACCTGAAGCTAAAAAGAAAAAAAAGAATTTCACCTTTTTTAAAAACTACAGAGCATTCCATAATCAATACTGCTGATACACTGCTAGTGTAATGTTAAAAATACTACACATGTCTAAGCAGGAAGTTAAGTAGTACTTGATAGTTGTAAAACTGAAATGCATTAGTAAACCACCAAGCAGATCTAAGGGGCAAAACCAGTGCAGTGTTCCTTAGGCTTTGCAAAAGCATTTTACCAAGCAAGAAAAGCTCTATTCATAAACAAGGGCATTTAGAGAGAGGAGAGTCTAAGGTTGAATGTTTATATGTTTTGAAGGAAGAAGTTATTACTCTTGAAGTTACTCTTGCAATAAAAAGGTATTTCCTGTTAAGAAAGTTAAAACAGAAAAATCAGGGTAAGTGTGGACCTTTGTTGTGGTGGACTAGCATTAGAAGAACAGCAGGTGTTCTAACACACCTTGCTTTCTGTCCCCATCCCACAAATATCTAGACAAAAACAAGTATGTTCTTCAAATATCTGATTTAAGAAGTTCTACAAGTCTCTTGTGTTTGAAAAACAAAACTCTTACCTTCAAGAGAACAAATATTCAGCAGCAGATAGAATCCATAGGCCACCCAGTTCCACCCAGAAAACATGCTGCATGGAATTCCTGTAACAGAGAGATATACATATATATATTTAAATTTAAACTATTACTCTTTAGATTAGATCAATGTCAAATTCAGATTTGCATTTGCTTTAAGATCATTTCTCACCTATGCATATTTACTTTCCTGAAAGAGTTTGTATCTTCTCACTCTAAAGAAAGAATGGGTATATTGTTTTAATTTCCCTCACTGTTAAAACAAAATTAAATGTCTACTTAAGACAACTGATGCAGTTTAAAGCCTCATCAGGTACAAATTTAAAAAATGTATAAGTTTAAGGTTTTCATGTTGTATATGAAAACAAACTTCACTGGTACTTCCATTGGAGGTTCAGTTAGAATACAGAGCATAACACTGTGGATTCAGGTTTTAAAATATATCCCTATGAAACTGGTTATGGTTACCATACTCACCTAGCTTTCAAGGGTTTTGGACAAGGTTCAGAACAACTCATCACAAAACCACGTATCTCATTCACAAGAGCGACTTAAAGTAGGTTCCATATCAAAAACTGTTGTCTACTATAGAAAAAGCAATAATTATTTCTTTAAAACCTTACAAGGGAGTTCATAATTCCTCAGAAGTTGGGAAGCTTTTTATAACATCTTATTTATTTTTATATTTCAGCAGAGCTCACTCATTCTCAGTTTTGACAAATCTATAAAACAGTTTAGGGGAACTAAAGCATTCACACAGCAGCTCCCACCCCAGTTGTTTTGAAGCTACAAAATCTGTTCTGGTTTTCTCAACTTGCAGTTGTAAAGCAGCCCCAAACTACTAAAAGCAAGCGACCATTCTTACTAAGCATATGAGCTATTTATTTTTAGCTGTAATTACATACCTTTACAAGAACAGGTAGATTGGCTTAGTTAAATAGGATACTTAGTACACTAGCTGATTTCTAGAAGCAGTCTTCATGCTGTTCATACAGCTAGAAACTAAACATAGACTTTCTAGGTTTACTAAGATTTGAGATGAGATTACCTATATAGCAATCTGGTTTCTGCAGTTTTATTTTTCACTAACCTGACAGCTTCTTTGGAAACTAGTATTCTGAGCTTTATCCCTGTGTAAAAGGCAACTCACTAAAATGTTTAAAGGTATTTCACAGTATTTTCTAGACAGGAAAATTTATAAGCTACATTTACTATTATCAGAAGAAAAAAGAAACTGCCATTTATGATAATAAACACTCCTTTGCTTTGATTGCATGTAATTTACTCTTTAACTGTGACAGAAGGACACAAGGCATTTCACACAGATCAGTAAAACTAGACACATTTAAGCATGGATATACCCACACCAAGCCAAAACCTCATACATCAACACAAGCTTTTTTTTTTTTTTTTCCAAATCAGGATGAACAATGTAATGTAAGGAAAATCCCTATTCACAAGAACAACAACAAAATGGAAGCCAATCTCAAACATTTATAGCAGCATCTTTGTAGGGTTTACCAACCTAGATGTCTTTCAGTAAGAACTAAAATAAAACCCACTGGAATCACCCAGTAGTATCTTTACTTGCACCTATTCTTGCAAGTCCATTACTCAAAGCCCACCAATATTTCCTACAGAGAACCTTCATACTAGAAGCACTGTTGATTGAAAGACTTGACATTATTAATCATATTAACGAGCATTTATATTTGTCACTAGAAGTTTGCTGGTTTGTTTTTTGACTAAATAACAAGATATTTATCATCAGACCATAGTTTTACAGAATTGAGAATGAAAAAGCTATTCATTTTTCCTATGTTCCACTCAAGTACTCTCACTGGGCTGGATACAGAACCATTATACAGCTTTAAATGCAATACATCTTAGGATATTTATTACAAGTGTACAGTAAAATAACTACACCAATTGATTTTTGCTTATTTTGGACGTAATATCTCCAATATCTGAAAAATAAGGTTTCTACCCACACATGCCTTTCTGCATTTTAAAATCCCAATTAATTTCAAGAATTTGTATAAATTTGCATGGTAAATCCAACCAAACTCTGAAGAGTTTTAGTTCAAGTCACTAAACCAGCACATAGGAATCTACTCGAGGATCTTGACTTACACTAACACTTATCAGAATACTGCTTGCTACCTAAAGTTTGTTGAGTTCTATTATGGATAGACCTCAGGCTCTGTCACTTTAAGCAAGACTCATTTAAAACTATTTAAGTAGGACAATTTGAGTTGGGGAAGATCTGAAATTCATCAGAATCCTGAGGGCAACTACAAGGTAGGTGGAAAGAAGCAGCAGCTCCACTTCACTGCTCATTGCCAACAGTCACAAAACAACAGCAGAAACACCTTCCACACTGAAGGGGAAAGAACAAAACATGTAAAAAGGTAAAAAGGAAAATTTTTAAATTTATGTTCAATACAACGGTTGTCTCCCATTTGGTGTCATCTGGTACACCACATTAGAATAATGGCAGTGTCAGCTAAACTAAGTATAACATCATTACAAAGTTACTGCTTTTCTTTTTGGTCATTATTTACTCGGATTAAACAATATTTCCACGAAACTATTCAATGATTTTCACACCAGCAGTTATTAAGTATGGCTCAGGTCAGTAAAAAAAAACTGCAAAGCAACTGAAAATAAATAAAAAGCAACAGTGATCAGAAGTAAACAATAACAGGGAATTATCACAGATTTTGTCCTACAGGATGATGTTTTTCATAGGAAATTTAAATGAAATTACTATCCTTTAAAATAAATGCCATTTCTGTATTCAACTGTTTTCCAGGCTTGGAATACTACATTTCAGTTGTCCTGAACAGATTAATTCACACCTGAGAGGCTTAAGTCCAAATCTCTACACTACCTTGCACTTTGGAAATTTAGCACCTGTTCTGAGGGAGCAATGAACTCTCCATAGGTTATGGTACTTAATTGTGGTACTGCATTCAGCTCCTAAAACGCAAGAGAACCGAGACTCATGCTCCATCATCTGCAAAGGAGAGTTAAGTGGCAAGCCCACCCACCTACAGTATGGGAGCCAAGCAGTTGCAACTGTAGTGTCAAAATCATGCTACAATTCAGCATATATCTGCTTTAGGCTATTCTGACTTATTTTACTTCTCCCCTCCTCTGCCGATCAATACAGTTTGAAGAAGACTGAAGCTACACACCTCCCAGCCCACAAAGGGTCTATTACAATCCCTTCTAATGTATGCTACTTTAATAATTTAGTTCTAGGGGAAAGAACCAGAATTACACTAGACACCTCCATCCATTTAGCCTACATGAAAGCTGTAAAAAAACCGAAAAAAAAAAATGGTGGGGCTTGTAACTAACAAAACAAGGACCCATACTTCACATTAGAATGATGAAGATACTTCTCTGCAAAGTAGCATTTCCTTATCTGAGCATGTAAAAATGCTAAAGCAAAGAAACCCTGCACATAAGCCAACCCAAACTTTAAAAGACAGTGCCACCATTCAACAGAAATGTTAATCACTAATTGTTAACCATCAACTACTTTAAGTCAGACTAAGCCGTTAGTTTAGACAACAGAAAACTCAATAGTTTCTTTCACTCATTATGCAGAGCCCAAAGCTGGTATAGTGTATTAGGAATCTAAGGTGCAAATTGAACCTGATGCTGAACTAACATTGAAGCACCTAGTCAGTTCAGATGCGTTTCATAAAAAAATACCCCAAAAAACCAAAAAGCCAAATCAACACTTATGTACACTATGCAGTTTTTGTGCATCAGTAGGTGAAGACAAAAGGGAGACAGCAAAAGAAACTGATGCTTGAAGTTTGTCAAGTTATTCTCAGTTTAGTCTGCCTAAGCGGCAAGGGATCAAAGTGCATCCATATACTACAGAGTAAAAACAACACAGCCAATTTAGAAATGCTGTCGGTAACAGTCCTTAACTCACAACATAAACAATCTCATAGAGGAAGAAAACCTGTTAAAACGTTCTGATTACTTCAGTAAAGACAGACTTACAAAACTTATATGCTATGAGATCATCCCATTTAAACTCTAAATCATATGGAACTTCCATTATTCTTCTTCACATCCTGAAACCATTTTGAAAGGAAAGCACTAAGCCTTCATGCCTGAACCTTAAGCTGATACTTCCTGTGAAAAACTAAGAACGACCCTAAAGCCAAGCATCATATGCACAAAGTAGCAACAGTGTTGCGTTTTATAATTAACCTGTGACCTGTTTTTGAAGAAGTGTCAGGCATTCATCCAAAACAGGTATTATTACTTACTCTGAGCAAGAGAGAAGTCTTAAAAATTAATCTTATTTCATAAATCATGAGAACTACCCCAAAATGAATACAGATGTCATGTAACGAATTATCACCTCTCCGTTTCAGAGAGGCGACAATTACTTTCCAAATGACCTGCAAATGACAATGTCATCTTAAGAGACTGTAGCCAAAACATGTACTTGCCAGCAAAGCCGGCTTGCAAGTCAGGAAGTTCAGATAACACCACAACCACCACAGGAAGGTGTTCAGTCTGTTAAGGCTCATCACCACGTAAATCATGGAAGACCAAAGGTTGCTGGCAAATGGATTTACAGAAATTCCTCAAAAAAATTAAGAGCCAAGTTTAGTGCTTCAAGTGGTAACCTCTCACTAAGAATCCACAAAGCTCAGGCAGATAGGGTCAGCGATACTGCACAAAGCAGCTACAGCTTGAGGTTTTACAATAAGCCAGACAGATACTTAAAGCCCATCTAAAAGCTGTAGCTATTCTGAAGGAATTTTGATTACTCCAACAGTAACTGCTTTCTAATTAAGAGTATTTCATCTGCAAGCTTCCTTCCTTCCTCCAAGCTTACTTCCTTCTTGGAAATATTTATGAGGCCAAAAAAAACCCAAACACCTCTAAGAGAAGCATTTGAAAATATTACATAATATTCCTTATAGGTACAGAATATTCTGAAATTCATTCTCATATTTAAAATCTCTCTATGAGAAAGTGATTAACTCTATCCCTTTCAGTCTATAAGTATGTATTTTCTCTATATTACTCATTCCTTTGCCTCTAGAAGGAGGTTTCTCCCTACCTCTGGGGTTTTAGTATAACACTCGGAATAAAAAATGAAGAGAAAATAAGAAAAAAACAAAAAAGGGACACAGATTAAAATTATTGAAATATGTAATTACAGGAACCAAATATTTGCTTGCAATAATTAAGTTCTTCCTGGTATTTTCTTAAAACTGTAAATAATTTCTCTATTAAATACTTCAGGATTTTTTCAAAGCTAATGAGCAGCTTTAGTCCAAAAATCAATCTAATTTATACAAAATAATGTTTTAGCATTCCATGCACTCATCTTGAAGTCAAACCTTCCAAACTAATCACCACCAATGCTGGTTCTCTAATTTAGACAGTTCTCGCTAATAAAAAAAAAATTACTAAAAAAATGGCCAAGTTTATTTATTTTCATGTAATTGTGCTAGTGCTAATCCTCCAGACAAGCAGCACAGGAAACGGCACATCTGCATTTTATGTACTCATGGATGTGCATGTCTCTTCCCCCCACAGCCAAAACTGTTTACATATTTGGTTTACTTGAAGATATCACATTTCTAGACACATAAACAAGATTCAAATAATTACTTCTAGGGCTCAAATTCTAGGAATTAATCTCAAAATTTCGTCACCCACTCTTACATTCTTATTGTGATACATCAACATAACAGATTAAAAATCTTTTGAGTTCAGAAGTTAGATGCTCTAGAGATATCTTTTACATAAATATTCCTCTGAAAGTAACAGTATATAAGAAGAGAAATTTTATGTTTTTATAAAAAAGAGAGTGAAAGAAAAAAGACCATTAACTCCCAAAAGTATCCAATTGCTTCAAGTTGTGGATCCCCCCTTTTCCCCCCTCCTAGTGACAGGACAGATCACCAATGACAAAATTATAATCCCACATAATTCTACTCCCAGGTTTCTCCTTCAGAAATGCCTCAGAAGTAACAAGAAGCCACCAGCTGGCAAACTCCTAGTCAGCCTAACACAAGGATGAAAACTGAGACTGGTATTTATTCTCCTCTGCACTGCCAACACACTTGGCAGACCGCTTTCCTTTGTGCCTCAGTTTCATCATCTGAGAGAAGAAAATAATGACGCCTGTTTTCCCTAGGGAAAGCATCCGAACCCTACTACAGGGATGACTGGAGATCCGGAGCACGCTGGAAATTACCAGAGGACCGAGACTGACCACTGCACCCACCCGCTCCTCCCTAATTCCTCAGGGAATCACTACTGGACCAGCAGTAAAAACAAGCGTGCGTCTCTTTCAAGGCCAGTAGTTTCCTACCTTCTCATCCACAGGCAACAAGAGCAAACCTCTTGTGCTGAAGGCAACAAAACGCAAATCTTTCCATCAGGGCAATGCCCGCCGATAGCGCGGCCGAGCTTATCAGGGAGCCGAGAGTGCCCGACAGTCGCGGCCCCACTGTCAGCGCAGGGCGCCGGCACTCCCCACTCCGCACCGGGGGGAGAGCACAGATACCCTTCGGCCTGACCTCCTCCCGCGGACGGGACCCCCCGGCACCGACTCCACGGGGGACTCGACGCACGCAGCGGCCCCGGGCGAGGCCGTGTCGCGTTCGGAGCGTCACCGCCGGGCAGCTCCGCCGGCGCTCCGAGAGGAGGCGGGACGAGGCGGGACACGGCCGCGGGGCACGGCTGGCGATCGGCCCGGGGAACGAGTGGCGCAAGGGCCGACCGCCTCCACCACAGATCCCGGCCTGAATCCCTGCCAGCCCCTGGACGAACGCCCCGGTACTCCCGCCCGCGGCGTGCGGCCCCCGGCAGTGGACGCCCCTCAGGGCGAGGGCGCTGAGGGCCCGGAGGGGAGGGGGTGGGAAGGGACGGGATAACCGCGCTGACCGGACCCCCGGCCCTTACCCGGCGCCGCTCGCGCCCCCCGGCCGCTGCCCCTAAACGGTGGCCGGGCCGCCTCGCGCCATCCCGCCGCCGTCCCGCACGCGCGGCCCCGCGACCGGCCACGCTCCGGCCCCGCCCCGGCCTCCGCGCGTCCCGCCCGCCCCCTCCTCCTCTCTGCGCTGCCATTGGTCAACGGGAGCCGTGACGTCGGCAGAGCGGGCGTGCCCAGAGAAGGGTCGGGGCTTCCCGGAACACGGCGGCCCGTGCCGGGATCGCGGGGGGTCGTGGTGGGGGCGGTGTCCTACCCCAGCATCCCTTTGCCCGCCTGTGCCCGATGTGCCCGAGCCCCTCGGTCCCTTACGGCTTTCCCTCGAGGTGTGTGCCAACTCTGCGCTCTCTTGAGGACAGCCGGCGCCTGCCCGGGCCGCCGCCGGCCAGGCCACTGGAAGCTTCTCCCGGCCCGTGTCCTGCCGGGCCTGCGCTGGCGGCGCGGCAGAGGTGTTGTCCTGGGCAGGCCCGAGCAGCCAGCGGCCTTCCCGGCGTTTCGCAAGGCTCCCCTGGGAGCACGGGCGGCTGGAGAACGCGCTTGTTAACAGCTGCGGTGTGAGCAGAGCGCTGTGAGCGAGGGCAGCCTCGGTGCTTCAGTCCCTGAAAGTCAGGGTGTCAGTCCTGAAAAGGTGTTTATGGAAGGCCGGCTTGCTAAGGAATGGTTCTTAATGTAGTTCATTGATGTGATCGTGATCCAGCAAAGCCTCTATGTTCTTTGCAGGGTTATCTTTGCACATTTCTTCCTTCAATAACCCTGAAAAAATGACTTTTGTAAATCAGACACTAACATACGCTCTTCATTCCAGATGAACTCCAGTTTAGGAGTGAGAAGAAACATGTTCCAGTGCAACGCCACAGACTTTGGTGGTGCTGAGAGTGTCAAAGGAGGCTCTTTCTAGTCAGGAAAGCACCAGATATCACTGATGCATGCCCGAGTTGCCTCCTGCCATGTACTTTAGGCTTTTGCCCATTCACTTCTTAAATTATTTTGGGGCTTGAGTAGGGTATGAACTATATTATATTCTTAGTTACATCTTTAAAGGAGTGGGTGGATTTGCTAGACAAATAGGGCATCTAGTTTAATACCCTGTTTCAAGGACTGCTAATGAAAAAAGATTAAGAACTTTGGGGAAAAAAAAAAGTGGAAGATAACCTATTTCTCATGTGTTTAGTACCAATCTCTGATTGTTTTGGTTTACTTCCTGTGATGGCTTAATATCCCCAACAAAAATGTGTTGCTTACTCTGAGAATGTTGTATATTTTCTACACAACAAAGTAGAGCTGGATGGACACTTCAGAAGTCATTTAGTTCCTCTGCTTTCCTCAAGACAAAATTGTCTATACTTAAATAGTGTCTGATAGGTATTTATCTAACCTGCAGGTTAAATTTATTACTCTATGTCCCTGCTCACAGCTGATGCTCTTCCTAGTAACCTTAGATCCTATAGGTGCTGCTGTTTCTCCCATAGGTGGTCTCTACACTCAGTAGTCTCAGTCCTTTCCATTTTTTCCTACAGGGCTTTTGGTGTTCAAGCCCTTCTTAATGTATCAGGACAACTGACATCTGGGAACAAGTTTCACAGTTTTTTCATTATGAAAAAAGCAGTTTTTCACTTTTGCTTTCTCTTCAAATTGTGGTTGGTGTGTCTTTGATTATGAGGATTACAGTTTGAGATTGTACAAGTATGGTTCAGTTGTATAATTGGCAGATTTCAATCTGTATGGATATGTCTGCTTCAGCACCTTCAAAAATTGGTGTTTGGCAACAGAGGTTTAAGTGGAACCAGGCTCTAAGTAGAGGGGACTGAAAAAATAATGTTGTGGGCTTTTTTCCTCTTGTTTCAGCATGTCTTCTGTGTCTTTTAAGATCACTCGAGTTCTGCTGCTAAATAGACATTTCAGAGTAGACACTCCACTCTCCCCCCTCCTCCAGCTGACAGAAAGCCTCTTGTGACATTCTTACTCTGAAATCCTATAGCCTGAAGCCATTCCTCGTATATTGCCAAAGCTCGTAGAACAACTCCCCCACTCCCTTTAAAACCGATTCCATGTCAGGCTTCACTTACATGCTACATGTATTGTAACTCTTCAAATAAGCAAGAGCTCTTGTATTTCACAGGCTATTTATGAACTCAGTGTAAAACTATTTACACATAGCTGAAGTTTCACAGAAAACCAATATTCTTTGTTTGCAACTGTGCTTAATTTTTTTCTGTATTGGCACAAAATATTATTTATTCGGTAACGATTTAGTTGCCAAAAATCTGACTTGTGTTCTTAGAGATTGGGCATTTTCTGTTGCAAGCAGGTAAAAAGTTACTATTATTGCAGCTACCACTTGATAAAACTGGAACATTTCGGATCCCTAGTAAAGAAAAGAGTTAAGCCTTTCAAGCATGTTGTGAAGTGCCTTTTCTGCACATGGACCATTTCCTGAAAGACTCTTCAGTTTGATTTACTGCTTTATAGTCTTCCCTACTGAAACACATTATATAGCTTTATAGTGTATGTATATGCAGCATAGTACTGGTATATAGGTAATATAAACACCAGTAATTTAAAGTTTTTAATACCCAGAGAAGTGCAAAATTCTGGCCACATTTTAAAATGTTCCTTCAAGCTAATGTTTTAATCTGCATGTTGAATGAAGCATTATATTAAATGTTTATATATTTAATGAAATGTTTAGTCATATAATTCCTAAATATATGAGGCAAGAATAAAAGGAGGTTAATTATCAGGAATTGGAAGGTCTTTGAGATTAATTACTTATCTGCTTATTTAGACTGCAGTTTGTGTTCCAGCACAGTGTTCAGATCAGGGCTATATAGGATATTTCCAAGCTCCCACAATCTACAGCTAGGATATAAGTGGATGGAGCATACCTTCACACTCTCTGCTTTTTCAGGCCCAGGGAGAAGAGGATAGCCTGAGAGTGCGGAGGTGGGCAGTGATGCTTGGAAAACATTTAGTGATTGGCAAAGGTTTCTAGGTAACTGCTTGACTGTGGGAGCAGAGATATTTTTAAAGATGCTCTTAGAGATTGCCAAGGAACAAACTTGTGCTACTCTTTTTGGATATTTGAAGCAGTTTTGTAACAAGCTGTGACAAGGTTTGCAGTCGGTGCAAAATCTACTGAATCCTACAATAGATATGCCACAGAAAGGAAAATATATTTCTGGAAATTATTATTATCTTGGTATAAGGACGTGAAGCATCCTATAGATGCATCAGGGGTGTGAAAAGATTCCTCAGTCTGTATACATGTGAGGTTTTTTTGAGATGGGTTGCTGTTGGGAAAGATTTCCAAAGTAAGGGAGAAGCTGAATAACAAGACCCTTCAGTGGCAATGTTCTGACCCATGGCAAGTCAAAGTAATTTTCTGTGAGATGGCTGAATTACTATATAGAACTACTTGCCTATAACGTTCAGTGAAACATCCAAACCTCTTGCTGTAGTGATGATGTTATCTCAGCTTGTATCACTCTCCTGAACTTGAACTTAGGATGTCCAGGTCTGACATTCGTTAACATGAAGAAGAGTCACTTTTTTCCCACGCTCAAAAGTGGAGAGGACTAGTCCTTTGTCCTGAGTTGTCAGAACAGTAGCAGACTGTTGTGTTGAAGCCATAATCTTGAGGTCATGAAGTTATGGTAAAGTCCTTTGAAAAAGTAGGGAGGAAGCAGGCTGGGAGGCAGCAGGAAGAAAAAAAATGGCTGATGTAAGTGTTGGAAATGATTTAGTGACAGTTACAGCATTTCACAGCCTTATAACTTAGCAAACATGAGCTGCTCCGTGGCAGGAAAAAATAGGCTTGTTAATTCATTACTTCCTTTTGAGGCTGTCCTAGTTAGAACAGCTGGGACCAGTTCAAAACTGTGTATTCTATAGCCTTCCATGCCATTTCCCAGAAACTGGTATCAATAGACTATTTACACTCTCTGCCCAGAGCAGCCTGACTCCTCAGGCTATAAACTGGGTGTTAAGAGGCCTGCGAGATAGGAGGGTGCCTCCTTGTCCTCACACTCTTTTGTGGAACACCGCACCCTGAGGGAAGTACTGAGCATTCCTGCCTGAACTGGAGAATATATAATCTTGGAGTCTTGGAACTTTTTTAACCACTCGTGGGATCCAGAGGAAGACTGCAGTTCATTGCTTTCAGCCAAACTGCAGACCACCACTCTTGACTGGACTGCAACCACCACTTTTCAACCAGATTGCAACCATTGCTCTCGATCAGACTGCAATCACCACTCTTGACCAGACTGCAACAGCACTCTCACCAACAGGTTTTCCCCTCTCCTTTTCCTTTGGACTCAGGGGACCCAACGAACACCACTCTGTTCATGCCCCAGGGTGCTGGGTTATACGTTTGGGTTTTGTGGGTTAAAACCAATTGTTTGTCTGTATAATTGTACTTATTGTATTGTTTTATTAAATTGTTATTCTGACTTATAATCTCTCTTTTTAATTGAGTTCATTTCCCCTGCTGGTTTACCTTTAAACCACAGCACAGAGGCACATGGGAGTATAT